AAATATTTATGTTTCTGATCATTGTTTTTATCAGTTTAAAATGTGTGTCATTTCTTTTTTTTTTACATTTTTAGTCAAAATTTCCTAAAAACAAGAAAAATCCTATTTTCATGAAAAGCTCAATTTTAATGACAATTTTAAAATTAAAACAAAAATGGACAGAAACTTTAAAAAAAATTAACATTACAATAAAGAAGATACAACAATGGATTTCTTAGTGCAGTGTAGTCTTGGTATTTTTGTATTGTCTTATTTTTATGTTTATTAAATTTGCTGGTTGACCCCACTAGCTTATTATTTTTAGTTGTAATGAATTTCACATGGTCTGACTGCTCAGTGTATGTGAGTTGACTCATCTTGTCATGTGATCTAAAGCTAATTACCTTATTAGGCAAGAAAAAGAGAATCTATTGCTAGATGTCCAGGCAGTACCTTGTGACTTAACAAAGTTTAAGGTTTATTAACAACTTTTGACTGATTATTCAAAAAGATCAAGGGCTTTTTTAATTGATATTTATTATTATAACTTTATAATTTCATAATTTAACTTATTTAAAACTTTAAATGACTAGTAAAAAAAAAGCTAGTACATGTAGATTATTAAATTGAATGCTTCTTGTATTTCACCAATTCATTGTAAATTATTCAGATACTTAGCTTGAGGCATAACTAATCCTTTTTATTTCACAAGTTCATTAATACCTGACACAGAGAGCGTTATCTCTAGTATTGTGAGCTTAAACTTGAGTTCTTAATAACTTTTATTGTTAAGATGGAACACTAAAAATATTTTGTCGAGAAAGATGGTCATGAATCAGATCATGTTTTGAAATAATTCCAGATACCCCATCATCAGTTGCAAAATATAATTTGTTCAGCTTATGTCACCAGCTCATACTTTGAGATATGGTTTATTTCATCCATGTATGGTACAATATTTCCTTCATATGAAACGATAAAAAGTTCTTATTCTGACAAAATTGCTGCTTATTCTAATGAATCAAAAGCTTGCAACTATTTGGTTCTTGGTAGCGATGTTGACATAATATGCTCTTAAATGATCCAAGAACATATGCTAGGGATGTTGTATTAATGGCCTTTATTTGCTAATAGGGAATCTAAGTCTGTGTAATTTCGATTTGCTGTTGATGTAAGAATTTAATTGTTTTTTGTGTTGATTGATTGATGTGAGCTGATAGTTACTTTGGGGAGGGGGGGGGTACATTTTTTATGTAAGATTGCCCCAGTTCAATGAATATGAATATTTTATTCTTTTTGGATACCAATCCCACTGTGTGGTCTTTTTGTTTATATTCTTGAAAAGTTCCATAAATAAATACAATTAATTCAGTTCCTTTCTGAGTAACAAGGTTAATGTTTTATTGAATATAAATGTCTAGTGATAAATGTGCGTTATGGGTATTGTTTTGTGTTACTTAATATTTTGTTTTGTTATGTGCAATTATGTTGTGA